TTTAAATGTTCTAGTAGCCACAGTAAATAAACTAAAAACTAAAAACAAGCAGGTGAAATTAATGTTAGCAATATATTGAGCTGTTGATGCATTTTTGCATAGAAAAACATAGAAAAAATACATAATGATTTTCCCACCAACCCAATATTTTATTTAACCCAGTATATTCCAAACATTATCATTTCTTTTTTTTTTTAAAGAATTATTTATTTTATTTTATTTATTATTCTTCTTCAATTTGACCAGGTGAGAAAGCAAGTCACTGGGTTCGGCACTTAAACTGCGGTCGCCCATGTGGGAGTCCAGCATCTTAACCACCGCGCGGCCCGCCAGCCCCCAAACATTACCATTTTGACATGGAATCAATCTGAAAAATGGCCAGCGGGATATTTTATATTCTCTCCTTCCCACTGTCTTTAAGGTTGACGTGTACAGCACACCTCAATCTGGAATAGCCGAACTACAGATGCTCACTAGCCACAGCACCAGAACCGCGTGGGGTTCAACAGTACCTCACAGGGCTAGGTGGTGAAGTGAGCCCCTCTGTGGGAAGCAGGGAGATGCCAGCAAGTGTTCAGCAAGTGAGAGCTGTGGCCATTGGTTGTTTCTGAAGTGTTCTGGTGGGGAAGACAGAGGTCGAAGAGGATAGGTCAGTTCAGAGGTGTGTCCCAGGGCAGTGGGAGTCGAGCAGGGAGTTTGATATGTTGCAATAGGGAGGACTTCCAGAAGGTAGCAGCAATCAATCTGGGCATTGAAGAGTGAGCAGGATGGGCCCAGCCAGTGGCATGGTGGTTGGGGTGGCTGGATCCCACATGGCCAACTCTGTGGTTCGAGTCCTGGACCTGGTGGCTTGAGAAACAATGCTGGGAATGTGTAAGTGCTGGGGCCAAAACCCCGAGAGGAGAATGGAGAAGAGATTGTAATGGGCACCCTCTCACACTCTGGGGAGGAGTGGTGCCTTCTCACTTTCCCTCTCTCTCTCTCTCTCCCTGAAAAATGCATGGGCCCTATGGGCCCTATAGTTTTTTTTTTTTTTTTTTTAAGGAAAGAAAGAACAGAATGGCCAGGATGTCAGCAGACAGCAATGGGGAAGACATTGCAGGAGGGCAAAGGAGCAGAATTAGGAAGGCCAGGACCAGAAGCTCAGTTCTCCCCACAAGGAGGCTGTGAGTAGCTGAGTGAGAGGGGGTAGTGTGAGGCAATAGGGAGCGGTGGGGACTGTGGAGGGTGGAAAGGTCTGGGCTGGTCTGAGGCAGACACAACTCTGGAACTGGAGCCATCTGGAATACGGGTCTAGAGCTGTCAGGCTCCTCTGGCTTGTCAAAAGAAGCCAATAATCTGGATTTTTATGTGAAATCTCCTGACTTTTTAGAGTTGGCAACCAATTCGAATTCCTTTGAAACACTTTGCTCAGCCAAACAAAACATGTCTGCCGGCAGGCTCCTGCCCAGGCGCCCCGTCGGCCAGGTCTGGTAGAGATTGTGTTAGGGGAGAAGCCAGAGTAGCATCCTGGGACTAAGGGTGGGAGCGAGCTGGCAAGTGGGCCTGTCTGCCTGGCTGAGGGGCCCTGGCTTTCCTGGATGATGAGAGCCAGAAGAGCTAAGGGGGCTGTCTCAGACCCAGTGAGACAGTCTGTGGCCCTGGGGTGGTGGCAGGGTAAGTTCGGGGTTCCAGGTTTGCCTGGGGTCTTACTAAGGTCAATGAACAGACATCTGCTCACACTGACCCAAGCGAGGGTGTTCCTACCAAGAGGCAGGGCCCCTGTAGAAAGCCACGGGCAGGCAGACAAAGCAGGCCCCTAGACTTTCTTCACTGTCACAAAGCCACCTCCTCCCCTCCCTTTCTGCTGTAGGATCCTCTCCACTGACTGGCTACTTCTGCTGGTCCCCTAGTTCCTGCTCCCCACAATCTTAGGGCTTCCTACCCACTCAGACGGACTATCCGTGATCTCAGGGCTGCATGCCCTAGTAGGAGTACCTGTCTCAACGTATACGTTCAGGCAAGCCAATCTGACCTGCTAAGTGAGGTGAGGTGGCCACTTCTACCCCATAACTGTGCCCAGGGGGTGACATCACCTGTACAATGTGTTCCCCTTACTAGGCCCTTTTCCTCAAGGGCTCCAGATGAGGCTGACTGCCTAGAAGGGAGCTTCCGGTATGCCTGTGGTGGTGACTGCCTGTCCCCATGTATGAGCTCCCTATCTGGCCTCAACCCCAGAGGCTCCTCTCTGGGCCCTGAAAGCTACCAGGGTCACAACAGTGTTTTCTGTGTTTTTCAGTCTCTGGGAGAGAGGATTTCACCCATGAGTCTCAGACGTTGCAGCTTTAGAGCGGAGAGAGCTAGGACAACCAGTCTGGAGTGTAGGGTGTAGGAAACAGATCAAGCTGGAAGTGGGGGGTTAGAGGCTGGAGAGTTCGGACAGGTAGACCCTAGCACTCTAGGGACATATCAGAACAAAGAATTTCAGAACCCAAGTGGTGACAACCCCAGGGCAGTTATGGGGCAATTTGGCCCTCTGGTGGCTGTGGCCTGGAGCAGTCATGGCGAGAGCCAGATCTGGGAAGGTAGTTCTAGACTCTGGTGGTTTGCAGAACATGGAGCCAGAATCCAGAGGTCTTGGGGCAAAGGGCTTCAGTACATGACCCCAGACCCAGAGACCTGGAACTTTCCTGAAGCCAATTGCCAATATTGTTGGCTCAAATGGAGACATCCCGGATGGGGTGCATGGGAAACTCCCCCAAAGCTGACTGAGGACTCCAGGTCCCTGTGCAAACTCAGAATGCAGAGGAGGGGGCTGTTGGAAGTTATGGTAGACAAAGGTCCTGACCCCTGCTGCACTCGAAAGTCAGCTACTGCTGGCAGTAGCAGGCCAGCTGAGGCTGGGGTCAGTGGGACCTCATCAGGGTCCTCATAGAACCATCTCCCACTGCAGCAGCCTCTGCCCCCAGCCTATAGGCAGGATAGACGTCATGGTACTGCTGACGGCAGAGCAAACAGATTCCCAGAGGGAAATCAGTACTGTGTGGGGTGAGGCCTGAGAGTTCAGTGGGCAGGCCCAGGTCCCTTCTTCCCTGGACTCCCAGCCACACACTGGACAATGCCTGCACTTGGAGAAGACCGAGAAATACTGGGCGCTTCTTCCCTCTCTGCCCAGAGCCCTCAGGATGAGCTACATGAGTGCTGTGGGCAGATGTTCCCCGACAGTCTCTTCCCCAAGACTCCCTTTCCAGTGCACTGAAGATGCACCGTCCTCCAAAAGGCTGATCTGTGATCTACCACAGTTCCCTCTGCCAACCGTCCTGGGGTAGGACTGGGTTCTGGTCCCATGTGAGTCCCTGGGCCCCGCCAACATGAGGGATCAGTACAGGAAGGCAGGCACCCTATTCTAGCTGAGAGGCCTCTGGGGGAAGGGACCAGGGCAGCTCGCTCTCCCTCTGGGAGAGAGATCCCAGCCTACTGGAAACTGGATCTTTTATACCCAGGTCCTGTGGCCCCAGAGCCTTCAGGCATCAAAGTGCAGGGTAGGATGGGGTGAAGAGACTGGCTAAGGCATGCTGAACTCCTGGGGGTGGGTCTCAGCCATTCTTCCAGGGCTCCATTTCTCCAGTGTGAAGGGTTTTATCACCATTAAAACGCTGTCCAAGTGTTGCTTGATTTACATAAAGTACAAGACCAGGCAAAACTAATGGATGTAGTTCAAAGTCAGAGCAGCAGTAGGAAGCTGGAGGAGCTAGGTTTTTCTGCTTCTTGATCTTGGTTCTGGTTATTTTGTGAAAAATGTCTTGCGCTGTGCCCTGGCGACAGGTGCACTTTTTTGTACACATTTTTACTTCAATGAAGTTTTTAAAATGCAAACCAACACAAATGAGAAAAATAAACCAACAGTAGCAACCAAGCCCACTCCCATTCATGGAGCCCTTACCCTTTGCTAGCTCGGTCAACCTCCCCTGCGGTCATTTAAACGCTAATGGCCCTGACCGGGACAGCAATTCTGATCCGGGCAGGAGTTGGAGCTGGGCTCAGGGGGCTGCCCTGATCTGCATTCCTGTGCTGGGGAGCTGCATGGGGACGGCTTTCCCCTAGACTGCCCCTTCCAGACCAGAACAAGGCGCGGCGTGGCTAACCCGCCTTTATGCGCGCTCTCCAGGCGATCGAAAGGCTGTCTCTAGACCACATCAAAAACCTTGTCCTTTTCTGTAATTGAGGGGCTGAGCCAGCCCAGGGAGTCGGGCGAGGAGGGATCACACCTAGGTTGCACCCCGTCTTTTCGCCCCGGGCGGGGCTTCGGGCCCTAGGGAGGTGGGGGACTAGCCG